GTTTCATAATTAAATCAATTTCTGCATTTGACAGCGCGTAACTGGCTTCATCGATTTCTTTGCACTTTAATCTCACTTTGTTAAAATGGTTTGTTTTACTGCTTGTCCAGTTTTCAATTATAATTATTATTGCTTCAGTTTCTCTTTTGCAAGTAGAATTTTGAAGCAATACTACCAGAAACAGATGCAGAAAGAGGGGGGATGGGGTGGAAGGGAGAGACAAGACATACAAGAGACACAGTAAATCTGCTTGGGACCTATGGTGTGTTGGTTAACAATGCTGGAGCTGTGTGAATGAATATAGACCAAGACTTGATATTACACTTGTAGTAAATATAGATCACAATAGGTCAGACAAGGCAGGCCCATAGGAAGCAATTTCAGTTTGGGGGGGGGGGGGGGGAGGGGCACTTACAACCAAAAATTCCTTGACAAGCAAAAAAAGGTCATCAGACGTTTTTTATTGAGGGGGCACTAGCTTATACATGTGGTACAGTAGATATGTTTTCTATAGTGTTCTAGTATTCTATATATCGCCAGAATTATTGGGGGCACGTTCCTCCAGTGCCCCCCCCCCAACCGGTTCCTACGGCCATGCAAGGGAAGAGCATTAATCTAAGTGTCGTCAATATCATTTTGCAACTATGGATGAATCATATTCAGCACAATACTATAGACTAAGCATATATTTCATTTCTCCTTTTCTTCAATTACTGCTTAATCAATTCAAAATACTCAGACAATGAAACAATAGTCTTTTTGTGTGACTATATCTTCGCATCAGATGGAGCACTTCAAACACAGGCACTTGTTTCGTATACGGGGAACCCCTACTTATTTTTAAAAATAAGTAGGGGTGCCCCGTATACGAAACAAGTGCCTGTGCATAAGACGTGGCAGTGTACAATTTTCTGCATTCCTACCAAAATGGGGATGGGGGGGGGGGGGTATCCAAAATATTTTCCTAGATGTGTTCCATTGGTCAACAATTCCTATTTCTGGTCAACACATCTATTTAAACCTAACAGTCGCCTAAATATAAGTCCATTCTGGATGGGATCCATAGAATTCTATAATTAAACAAAATAAAACTGATAGATGAAGATAAGTTGCTCCAAAACAAGAGAAACTGGACGATCAGGATTAAAAATAATTAGTTTAAAGGGGATCGAAATCAACCCTCTCAAAGAAGAGCATACATTTCTCTATAGGATCAATGGAGCCCTGCCTAGCATCAGGACCTTTGACCCAGTTGTCAAGAAGTCACAAGTCTGGAAAAAATAACACACTTGCGTATTTCAACTTTGTACTCTATTTGCCTCTTTGATGAAAATTTTCAGAGAATTAATGCATTTTAATACTTAGTATATACATTGTAATCACAATTCAATAGAGCCCTAGCTGCCCTTAACACCAGACTTCCTGACCCAGGGGCTATGAATTTCTGGAAGAGGCACTCTTGTACATCATAACAATGCATGCTCTTTTTTGGCTAAAGAAGCTTTTTAGGTCATCTCAATCACTCAGGTGACCTATTGCTATATCTGTTTTTGTCAGTCGTTGCGTGCGTTGTCCGTTATAAGACATGCATCGTAAGTTACCATTTAAACATTTTCAGCTTCTTCTCTGGAACTGCTGAACAAATCACAACCAATTTGGAAAAGGGGATTTTTGGGTAAAGGAGAACAAAAAATGTGAAATTCATGGCCCCCACCTCCCTGGGCCTGAGAAGTGTGACACTAAAACCATCAAAATTAATGCAATCTTTAAAAATCTTCTTTACTCTTGGAAATCAAGCAGTCAAATGTTGGAATAAATTTAATAAGTACTGAGCCCTATACCTAAATTGTAAAATTTATAGCCCCAGAGCAAGGGTTCTGGAGTTAGGATGGGGCTCTATTGATCATATAATGTCAATGCAATAAATTCTTTAAAAAGCTTCTTCTCTCCTCCAGTATATTTAGCAGACAAAGTGCATGGTTATGATGAACAAGGATGCCTCTTCCTAAATTGTGAATTTCATGGGGTGAGGCTGTATTGATATTAAAGTGAATATGCATTACTTTTTTGAATATCTTCTTTTCTGCTTCTGGGTATTCAGCAAACAAATGAAACTAAGTGCATGATTTTGAGTAACAGCTCCTTCTCCAAAACTGTGAATTTCATGGCCACTGGGTCAGGGGTCGTGGTAATAGGGCGTGCTGTATTAATTACATAGTGAAAATGCATAATTTCTTTGAAAATCTGTGTGACCCAGGTGACCTAAAAAAAAAAAAAAAAAAAAAAAAAAACTAACTCATTCTTTCTTTTTCAAAGATATTTATTCATTAAATTTCCTTCAGTCTCATATGCAAATGAAATAAATTACTAAGTCTTGTAAAAAAACGAATCACAAAACACTAACAATGAATACATCATATGAGATGATTGTCAAACACACACCGTATACATTCCTTCTACGAGAGAAGAATTCAGTTTTTCAAACACAGAGTCTAACTTGCAATAAATGTCAATGTTTGCATAAATATACATCTTTATCATTCTCTTCATTGAAAATTTAGCATGCAACCACTAAATTAACTTTTTCTGTTAAACAAAACAGATATGTATATCTCTCAATACACTCCATCTTTATGCACTAATCTGGGACTTAATTTGCAATATATATAAAACAGCAACTTTTGGGACTTTTTTAATAACTTGTTGTTTTGATGTTTGACAGTGAGTATTTTTAGATTTGAATAGGTAAAAAGACATTCCTTTTGTGTCAATTTGAAATTCTTGATTAGTATGAAGAAAACCACATTTATTCTGTTCTCTCAGATTTGTGGCCAATTTCCTCTAGATTCATTGCTGTTGCCAAAATCATATGGTGAATTACATACATAATGGTAATATTTCATATTCACAGACGGTGCATACAGGGCTGCGTAGAGACTAAGAACAGCAACTAATGTTCATTTTATTGCTATTTTCAAACCTCTAACCAAATATTCATACACACCTATATGCTCTCTGCTTGAACGAATGTAAAGGAAAAAAAATTGCTTCAGAGTACAAAACAATCTGATAGAAAATAAATGACATTCAAAATAATTGAAATTTAAATCATACAAAAAGATGTACAATGTACTTCATCGATTCAAATAAATGCATGGATAAAAAAATTGAATGGAAAAAAATATCTGAGAAATATATTCCATAACACTCCTTCTCTAGCAAAGAATTCTATCTGCAGCTTTGAAAACGAAAAACATCAACTTCATAAATAAAATTTTTCTTGCTCAGAGTAGAAAAAAATGGTACAAATGCTGCAGCATCGGTATTATTTACATCTTAAATTATGACAATTTCTAATATTGCTGTTCTTATTGCAACAAATGAAATGCAAAAAATAAAATGATCTGGTATAAAAATATACATTACTGATGTCATCCATTATGCAAAGTGTTTACACAGAAGTGTAATTGGGTGAATTTAAATCCAATAAATGGTTAATATTCACAAATGTTGTTTTACTACTCACAAAGGAATGTCAACATTTCAAAGAATTGTTTACATATATAAACAGTGTTTGTTATTCATATGTACCAAGCTGAGCAAATGTCACATCCACTTCAAAGCCAAGGAAGATTAAAAGAAGTTACCTCCCTTACAAAAACTACACAAAATATCTAACATTCTATTTCAGATAGACGTACCAATTCCAACTTGATTTTAATAATGATAATATCTCAAATTATGAACCTCTGATGAACCTCTGTCAAGTCTATTCACCAGTCATGATGCAAATAAAAACAAAATAAATGCAAACATACCGGTATTTTCTGATGTAATATATGGTTTCATTTTTTTTTAAGTGTCTCTTGTAAGAGAAAAGGTTATACAGAGACCAAAAGGTCATGGATATATTAGGACTAAACTCAAATATAGGTAAAGTTGTATACTTGTACATTACTGTACAGTAAAGATTGTACAATACTGTACAATAAAGATTGTACAATACCGTACAGTAAAGATGCCTGTTGTCAACCTTGGACTGAACAAGATATTACCGTAAATCTGGAAATTTTTACTGTAGATAAATTTTTAGCAAATTTGCACGTGCAGTGCATTCGCAAAAATAGATTTCTTAAAAATAAATCAGCAACAAAAAATGTAAACAAAATTTTTGCTGACAGCATTTTTAACCCGGTGAACAAGTGTTTGTAAGCAGTGGTCATTTTAAGAAGCCTGTTTACAACAGATTGTTAACAAGATTTGATTTAATCAAGTGTAAGAAATCTTTAAATAGTTTAGATGTATTATATCTTCTAATATTTTTATCTGATTATTCAACGTTGGCATCATTTAATATTGTATGTACATGTGTGATTTATTGTATGTACATGTACATGCGTAACTTATAAAATGTTCTGAAATTTTTAGCGCTTTTTAATATTAGCGCCAATGACAATTCGCAAAATTTTGAAACGTAAAATTAATCAACAGCTTTTTGACCCTAATTTGCAAAAATAAATTGACGTAAAAATTTCCAGATTTACGGTATAACTAACACTCTTATCTAATATTAATACTTATCAAAACTCTTCCTAGAATTAAATATAAAAAAGTATCAAAGTCAAAAAATATAATAGCAATGTCAATTAAATTTTAAATATTTCATTTTGGTAATATAAACAAGAATTCCACATAAAATTGAGTTTATATATGTATTACAATAACTTAAAAACAACAGTTTATAAAAAGAAAAAAAGAAGATATGTATAAGCATGGTGGATTTCTGCACTTTGGTTGAAAAATATCGAATTTGCTATGAAAACCAGTGGTTGAAAAAATAATATAAACTTCACAAGAATTCCACATAAAACTGAGTCTATGTATGTATTACAATAAATTAAAAACAACAATCTAAAAAAAAAAAAGATATGTACATGCATGGTGGATTTCTGCACTTTGGTTGAAAAATATTAAAATTTGTTATGAAAACCAGTGATTGAAAAAATGATGTAAACTTCACACACACATATATATATAAAACTGAAGGTAACACATCATAAAAATAAATATAAGTTTTTGATTGATAGCAAAATAAGAAAATATAATTCTGTCACATAAAAATAAGTAAAAATATGATGGCTAAAATATTATGCTTATAGTATTATTCAGTATTAAAAACAAAATTAAATTACACTTAGTGGTATTTTCATATTAAGAGTAACATTAGAAAATTATTAAAAAAAAAAAAAAAATAGCCCTTGTTATGTACATAGAAAGAGTAAGAAACTTTTTTTTTCTTTTCTAATTTGCAACTGAATGTTTTAAAAAGCAATATGCCATTTCTAAAATTCTTTTCTTGTCATAACTCTTTTGTAAAGATAGCAGAAGAAGTATGCCCATGAAGGTCTGATAAGGGAAATAACTCTGATAAATTTTAAAAAAAAATTCAAAGCATGATCAGAAAAAGATTTGATTTGTTAATAAAGATATAAACTATGATGAACAATTGCAAAGAATATCATTTATTGATTTTATTAAATAGACAGGATTGAATGAAATTAAAATTTTAAACAACTAAATTTATTTAAAAAATAAAAAATGTTACTGTACTTTAAATACTATTCTAATTAGTATTTCCCCCTGCAATATACATTTTTTGTACCTAGTTGCAGTTACTGTTTTCCCTCCCTCATCGCTAAAATTCAGATATTAAAAGTGTTTTCATTTCTTAAAGAGTTCCAACAATGGAAGTTGTTATGAACAGACCTGGCTAGGATTTGTCGTCTTTTTTTTTCTCATACAAGAACAAACAAAATAAAAGTCAGAAACTATTCCACTGATAAGCCTATGTTCCAGGGTTTAAAAGACTTAAGGTAATCTACAAAAAATGTAGATAAAAATGTAAAAATGTGAGAAAATCTTCACACAGATAAATTTAATTCTTCTGTGGTTGTACAATATTCTTCATATTTGGCACATTCTATGTAGACCTACTAGATAAAAATTTTAAGTAAACCTATTAACAACTACCAGTAAATGAATCAGAATTAGAAATGAATGGTAAAGCCAAATACCTGTCCTGGTCTATATTTTTAAAAAACACACACAAAACAGATCAAATTCTTATCAAATAATATCCTAAAGAAACAATGGCTCATCAAAATACCATTTTTTTTTTTAAATTGCCTCTGTTCATTAGAATTGGAAAAATTAAATTTTCTTAGTGTAAATTTGAAAACAAACTGATGAGAAGTTTAGAGATATTGCAATGATAAAACCTGACCTTCATTCTAGGGCAAAAATGGACACTTCATTGTCGCAAAATATTTATAGTTCTTTGATGAGCATTGGTGAGTACACACATGTTCTTCAAAAGAATTTTGGATTTTTTTAATATTGTTACAAAAGAGGTTTTATATTAAAGCTATATATGTATATCTCAAACTACTTTTAACCAAACAGTAACACAACACATCTAATACACAAATCATTTATAACAGAATATCACACATAGCATGCCCAGCAACATCCTTTTCAATTTTAAATTTCCCTGTGCATAATCTCATAATACTTATTCTACTTTCTACTTGTGGATGCTCATAACTTCTTTTCCTCCTTTCTGAATGAATATACCACTTCAATTGTATCACTCAACATATTGTGCTGCTGAAATGGACTTTGAAAAAAATCTACATGACTTTTAATCCCTGGCATTTTAATTTGAAAGGAATCCTTTGAATCAGAAGTAAGTGACAGCATTAGAAGTCTGCAAAATTCTCGAGATCAGTTGATGAAACAGGAGGTGCGTCTTTCCATCCGTCTTCAGGGTACTCCTCAAAATTGTGGGTGTCCCCCGCATGGCTGACTTTGGGAACAATGGGGGGCTGTAAAGGATTAAATTACTGTTTTAAGTTCTTTGTACATTTTTGTAAAACAGAGTGCAAGTGATTTTGACTTGTACCAATTCAATTATTGTAAAACTTGTCTAATCCGGACACCACTGCATGGTTCAGAAGAAATGGGCTGGATTAGGCAGCATTCTGGATAAGACATACATTAACACTTAAAACAAATGAATTTACTGCAAGGGACTTAAAGTTTACATCGCATTAGACAAGATTTCGGATACCACAACATCTGGATTAGACATGTTTCACTGTACATTGTAACTGATTTGTCTTTAACAGTCAAAATTATGTAGAATTCAATTTTTTTAGCATTTGTGTTTTTAAACTAATATTACCATTTCTGCACCAAATACCTAGCATTTCAATGAATTATAGATTACACATTTAAAAAATATCCGAGAATTCTTTTAAAAATAATCAATAAAGTAAAAAGAAAAAAGAAGAGAAAATCAATATTGTTCTATGAATAGACAAATCTGTTTATATAGATGGATTTTTTTGAAAGCCTTTCTCCAATGCATTTTGTAAAACCAAAGTATTCAGTATTGATTGTAACTTGTATATCAACACATGATTTGGCACATTATCCACATAAATGAGTTAACAACAGCAGTGTCATTAACTGTCTATAGAATCTTGATCACCAATTCACCATACACCTAAAAAATGAGGGGTTTCCAGAAACAAAATCAATTTCATCACATTGAATTTCTCTTTGATCTATATATATACAGATTTATCACATATACTACACTCTTAACATAAAAAAAAATTAAGTAACACTACACGTTTTAGATTATTTTGTCACAAAAAAGATTAACCAAAATATCTTTACTGTGAACTATGAATTTATAATATTTTGTCATCAGAATTTTTTATTTGTTTTACAAAAATCATCCTAAAATATTTATAATCCTTCTTTGGTTTCAGTAATGCAAAAACAATTCAAAAAAATCTGCTACAGAATTTGTCCAAAATTCCCTCTGGCCTCATCCTTGCCAATGCTAAAACAATGTAAATCTGGTGTAGTTACTAGTACGGTTTAACTTCCACATCTTGAACTTTCATATCTTGAATACAATGGATGGGAAGTGAAGAAACTTTTTTTTATGTATTTTAACTCAATATCTAAAATACTGAGTTCATCTGAGATATCTTGAAGTTTTTTTAGGGACCCAATAAGTCCGAGAAAAGTAGTTTGCATTGTCCTTGTTTTTATGCAATAAGTTCCTTAATTGTGCCATGGTCCAAACATATTTCGTCTTAAAATCTTACATTTAATTTGAGTAGAGCTACATCCTCCCAAATAACACCCTTAAACCATTTGTGCTTCTTCACATCTTCTGTACCATTCTGCAAAAAATAAAAAAAAATAATAAAAAATAAACCAAATTACAAAACCTTACTCAAAAAAATCCATTCCATTAAATTAAAAAAAATTGTTTTTAATTCAAAAAAGAATTGCAATTCCATTCTTTACATCATTCTCATTAAAATTACCAAAGTTATATAAGCATTGAAACCAAATAATATGTAAATATTTGTCTATGCATGAAGATGAATGCGGAGCCAAATTATGTACTTCTCAAATTATGTATTTTGTGTAATATACTTTTTAGAAAAAGTGCAACAGTCCTCAATATTACATAAATATCTAACATCTGATGAAATCATATCTATATATCAAAAAAAAAAAAATCTTCAGAAGCTGCTAATAATCCCTGATTATTTCTTTCTTCATTTCATCACTGCTTTTCATTCAATTTACCTGTTACTCAAATACACACTTTAAACATCTGTCTTTCATCACTTAACTAATTATTGCAACTGCAGAAAGTGGTTTCCAATTGCTTTCCACTTTAAGAAACTATCAAGATATAAATATTTAATTTTAAAAGCAGTCTGTGCATAATTAGCTTTTTCCTGAAATTATGAAATTCTGTATCATATTTCAGCCATCAAAGAGGTGATTATTTTTTTTTTCAGAACTGTTTGTCTCTTGTCTCCGTCCATGCACAAGTACTTGATAGACAGTTCCTCAAGAATATGCCCTTTAATCCCCCTGCAGGATTGACTGAATCACAAGACAAGGTGTATATACCTTCATATTTCCCAGTCTCCTTGTTCTGTCCTGCACCAATAATTTCTTTATCAGATCCCTGTGAAAAAAAAAATCAAAAGCTCATCATTATACAACTAGGATGGTTCGAGATAGGTATCAGACCATAGAAAGCTTGTATTTATAGATGCTCTGTGTTGAATTGTTACAAAAATGCCATTATGGAGATGCAAGGCATTTATCTAACAATAAAAAAAACATAATGCTTTCAAGATTTTGATCGACATTTATATTCATTTTGATCAGTAAAAACGAAAAATGTCATAAATGAACATGCAGACATATTATGTCAATTTATCATACATTTCACTTTGCATATTTTCTCTCCTTATATAATTACATTAATGTTCTATTAATTGAGACTTATATAACTTGACTATTATTTAAATTCAGTTTGCCCCAAACTGTAGGTTAAGACTTTAATTTGTTGTGAGAGATTATTATGTCGCACAAATTAAGCATTAGGAGATTATCCCGAGTTTTGTAATCAGTGGAAAGAATATTCAGTACATTAAGCTTTATATTTTACTGTTTCCCTACAACACTGATTACTGGTTCCTTGTCTGCAGCACACCTATTTACGGATTGGGCGCCTGCCAATTTGTTTGCACCTTATTCAGGTGAGGATTAACGTCTGAGACAACCCACAGACAGTGAGGAGCAACGATTAAGTCTATTAACGATGCTCATAATTAGCGCTAAATCATTTCATGTATCCCCCCTGTCTCCCCCATACACCTCAACTTGTGCAGGGAATTATAGCAAGATTAGAAACAGACTCTAGATAGAGCAGAGGCTTTAATCCAAAGTGGCTTAAATTTTCTTGTTTATTTACATAAATGTTAAATTTTCTTGAGTTGTTGTTATTGAAATACGTCAAGGGTATAATAATTTTAAATATTTTTGTGGGGAATCAGGTCACCTAGAAGCTGTTTCGTATTAACCTTTTTATTAAATGTTGATATGTTTGGCTTCAATTCTAGATCTCCATAACTATAAATTTTATCTAATTTATATATTATCACAATGATGTACACAATTATCAATGAGAATTCCAAGTAGATTTCACCACTTGATACAACATAATCACTTCAATCTTAAAGTTATAGATTTACATATACATGTACATGTACATGTACATGTATTTATTAGCCATATCATCTAATTTCATTTATGTAACTTTTTATATATGAAGATTTTATGCCATTGGGACGCATCAGTTTTTTTTAAATATATACTTCTAGAACTGTTAAACATGGATACCTAAGAAAAAAAATTTAATACATGTACTTCAAGTTCACCATGACAATTAAAACATTAAAAGAACACACAAATTCAACCTACACAACTTTCTACAAACTGCCAGAAAAAAGTCAAAATCATTTTTTTTTAATATGTAATTAAAAAAAAAAGAGCTCATGCTCAATAAAAAAAATTCAAATGAAAATAAATTCGAGCAGGTGCATATTCACACATATCAGCTGAGAGTAAAATTAATGATTTTATAATCTTTGAAAAACCTGCAGATTTCAAGGCAAACATGCATGGAGAAAGTCAAGCATGCTATGATGAATACACAAGGCTGTTTCTTGATACAAGTAAAAAACCTTTTGACATATTGACCAGAAAGTGTTTGTTAAAGTAGGATCAGCTTCTATACTTTTTTTATTATTTAGGAAGGGGGTGTGGGGGCATGTTTTTTTTATTCATACATGTGTTTTCTTGTTGCTATATTCCTTCAACTAAAATTATCACTTACTTAGCAACTGGATCTAAATGCTTTGGCCACTCCAAGCGGCCCTCAATGATTTTTTCATATATTCTAAAGGCATTGTCATCAAACCAAGGAGGGTAGCTGAAACAAGAAAAAGAATAATTACTTCAAATTACCTTCATTTTAATATTTTATATAATTTATTTCACGTTTATCTCAGGAGCACATTAAGTAATGCTTAAAGACATATCCATGCCTTATTTCATATAATTTCTGCAGATTGATTTTATTTGGGAGGATGACCCTTTGAATGTAAATGAATATTTGGGAGGGTGACCATTTGAATATAAATAGAGGATATTCAATGTTTTGTAGATGAATATGGAATTTATTTCATAAGTGGGACAGGATTTTTTGATATTTTCACGAGTGCGAAGCACGAGTGAAAATATAAAAAAATCTTGTCTCACTTATGAAATAAATTCCATATTCATCTACAAAACATTGAATTTTCTGTTTATTACATTTTCTTTGATTTTCCCTTTGCCTCTGTCTTTTCTTAACACAGTGTCATAGCTAGGCTTGACAACATAGTTGAGCGGTTGAGACGTCATAACTTAGCAGTTGTGAGATTGAAAACATTACATAGCATGGATTTTAACAAATATATTTGGGAAGAAATTTGCAGTTTTAGCTCTATTAAGATGTTTAGTTATTATCTCTATCTTATGACAGGCCAGAAATTATTTTTTACTTACTTTCCTTTCACACTGTGAGAGAATATCATTTTGGTATCCTTTCACACTGTGAGAGAATATCACTTTTATTCAATAAATAAATCACAGTATTTCACTGTTGAAAATGTAATAAATGAATGTATTCAATAGTTTTCTTGTAATTTCATGCAGTTGGCTTTAGAATGAAGGTAAGGCATTACATGTTTTAGTTAAACAATAGCAATACCCTTTACAGTCAAACCTTGATATCTCAAACTCAATGGAACTGAGAAGAAACTGAGAGATATCTGAAGGTTCGAGATATTGAGATTAAATTACAATAAGAAATAGTAGTTGGGACTTTCAAGTCACTTTGACATATCCATGGTATTCAAGATATCAGAGTTTGAAATACCAAAGTTCAACTGTATTAAGTTACTTGAGTATTATCTGTCTTGTGTTCTCTTACCCCACCAACATTTCATAGGGACCATCAGTCCACTTACCCCACCAACATTTTAGGGACCACCAGTGCACTTACCCCACCAACATTTCATAGGAACCAACAGTGCACTTACCCCACCAACATTTCACAGGGACCACCAGTGCACTTACCCCACCAACATTTCATAGATGAGGATACCCAGGGACCACCAGTCCACTGCCTTGTTGTGACCCTTACTCTGGATAATTTCTGGGGCCAGATACTCGGGGGTACCACACAATGTCCAAGTCCTGAAAGATACATTTGGAACATTTTTGTCATGAAAAAAAAAATGTACTCTAACTAACAAATGGTGATCCTGACTCAATGTTAGAAGCAAACATTAGACTTTTAAAAAAATTTATCAAAATTTTGTAAATATACAAAGTGTTTTATTGTATAAAAAAAAAAATCAATATATATTCATATTTTACCATTATGTTCAAAGCATCAATTTAGAACAATGTTTAAAAACCACACATTTTATATGAATTATAAAGACAATAATTGATTCAAGATGACTACATTGGTTTTTTTTTTTAACAAGTCCCACTTTTTACAAAAAAATAGGATTCCACCTACTGCAGCAAACAGATCGTGATGCCAACACTTAGATTGACAGAACACTTACAGACAGACATAATTGGTATCTTCTTTGATTTAGAAGGCATCGACCTACTTTTAGAGATACAGGGTCATTGTAACTATATTAAAAACTGATAATAACCAGGTCAATGAACTGCCTTCGGGTGTACTATACCATTTGTAAATTCATTTATCAGTCTGGTGCCTAAGTGCTTTAAAGGAGAGAGACAATGGATGTAATAGAAGAAATATTATAATCATTTTTAACATTCATACCCCCCAGTTTTGACTTTTTCATGTAAAGATTAAAAAATTAAAACTCACCTGCAAAGAGAGATACAGAAAAGTTGGAAATGAGAGAAAACAAGAATATTTTAAGTTTACAGTTATCTTAATTTTTTTTTTTTTTTATATGGGCACATGCAGTAATGCTTTAAATTTTTCTTCTGTATTTAAAAACTCTAAGCTGATTTTGAATGTCTATATCTGAAGAATCTCGGTTTTTGTGTAGTGGAATTTTAATTAGCAATTTGTCTGCATGTGTCAACAGGGGGATATATGATGAAGCAGTAAGTGAAGCACTGTTGGCAGAGCAGGGAGAGGGATTAGAAGAGATAACTAGATCAAAGCCAACTGACTCAGGCTCTCCTCCTGTGTGTGTGGTATTCATACAATGTTACCCACGGTGTACATCTGAGGTATTAGCTGTATGCTATATACTTTCCCATAGCATAAATCGATGTTAGTGGAAAACTCTTGTTTTGCAATTTTTTTTTTTTTTTTTGCAAGGACAAAAAATGAAAATTTATGTCAACAAATTCTTATGGTACATCCTGGTATCTGTCAGTAGACAAGGGAAAACTAATATTTATTTATCAACAAAAAATCTTCAGTTTCTCTCGGCATCAAAACATTTACCCTGTTTATGTCCCACTTGTTTGTTCTAGATGACAAGCAACGCATGCATAGCATGTATACTGTATAGCACCTCAATCTATTGGATGAGCTCTTCAATTTCCCCATGGATCTACCTATGCAAGAAATTCAATCCCCCCCTGCACCCACATTTTGCGCATCAACTTTGAATCCTCTTTGTTCTTGACTGAGGTTTTGTATCCACTCCCACTTGTATGATACTGATATGGAGCTTGGGTAAATAAATGAATTGAATTGAATTACCAATAGGAGTGGAAACAGATAGGTATAACCTGCATGTGTGGTTAAAATTGCAACAATGCACTAAAGGCAGATTACCATCTCAGTTTTCAGTAAACTGGGTACATAATACACAAATCAATTTCTTTGGTGAGGTATATTGGACAGTTTTCATTTTTGATGATCCATTTATTATCCTCTAACCTTGAATCATAACCTCAAATATCAATAAACAAATATCAAATTGAAATATCAATACACATTAAAAAAAAATCAAGAGCTAGAAAAAAAAGAAAGCAACAAAAAACAAAGCCAATTATTTCACCTTGATACTAAGGTTTGACAGTATTTTTCAGGCTTGTACAATAACAGTTTTTAGGTTCTTTGTGGTACATATGTACTGATATTCATATTCATAACTTAAAATATATACTTGTGGCTAATGACCCTAATTAACTAAATTTTTGGCTATAATTATATTTAATCTTTCAGAATAGAAGTAAATTCTGCGTCGTCCAAACATGTGTCAAAACTTTACATTTGTCAGCAATCTAATTGTAGCTAAATTTAAATATATCAAATTAATCATGACCCCAAAGAAGCACAGCAATTATTGAACGATGACAATAGCTTTAAAGACGTTCAATATGACGGGTCCTTAAACAAAAGAATGAGGGCATAGTTTAAATCCTTATCACGCCAAAAATCTTTCTTTAGTCCCTGCAGTCTTCCTAGGGTGTATTTATCTCAGGGACCTGGGTTTTTGTGTTGGAGGTCAAACCAAACTTATTGGAACCAAAGAACTACTGAATATCTATAGAGTGTAATGTCAGTTCAGCTCGATCTCAATGTCTATTGACTCAAAACTTTGGCGTGAATGTCCTACGTATTTACAAGTTCTTAGGTTTACATTGCATTACAGTCGAAAAAGAGTTTTCATTCAAGGTTATTCAATCAATGTTTGAAAACGTGTGTAAAAGAAGATGTCAAATTTATTTCCCAATGCCGATATATTATGCCTATAAAGAAATATGACTGGCTTGATTTCTTATTTAAAATTTGCTCTCAGACTGTTGTGTTTGAGCTTTGAAAACAACAAATAAATATCTCTATAAGTTGACAGTGAAGAACTGAGACACAGTCGTGGAATGTTTACCGACACTGCCTGCTTTTACTTATAGTAATTTTACAAAACCTTGAAATATTTCATAGGTATCTAACATCTGAGACAATTTTCCTGTTCTTAAATAAGGATCTTTATTTTCTGTTCCCACCCATGTCAGATAACCCGACATGATCTAAACAGGAAATTTTAACATTCTAGGGATATAATAAACCTGAATACAAGGAAGCTATACTTTTTTCTCTCTTTATTTAGAAAAAAATGACTTCAAGTTCTGAATAACAAATACAAGTCAAGAAACTGCATTTCTGCATTATTCAATGTCCTGGTATTAAGTCTCATATGGCTTTTAAAAAAAATATTTACATTCTACATACCAACATTCTTTAATCTAGTTTAATTGCAGAGCTTTGTCATATAAAACAAATTATGTTCCCGTCTTTATTATTTTCACTTGTATATACTACAATAGTAAAATCTTTCCAATCCATGGGGCCAAATAGGAGCTGGTGCTTATATTCCTGTAAAAGTGGTTTATGTGGTGCTTAGCAAATGAGTTTTGACCCCCCCCCCCCCAATAGGGGACACCAGTCCATAGCAGGTCAACTCCAAGCATAAGCGGATGCATATTTTTCAGATGAGTGGACTAAGACAATGCAGACCTATACATGTAAATTGCCCTGTCCAAGACAAGAACATCTGAAATAGCGACTATTCCGTTACTAAAGCCAAACACATACATGTATAACCACTGAGCAGTGTGCTCCACAAATGATATTTGATCCATCATTAAATCTATTATAATATTTTGTTTGGTATTATTTTCTGAAAGTTTAATTGAACAAAAAAGAGGATGCATTTGCAAAGCAGCATATGGTGATGATGGCCTGATTTTCACATTCATTCCCTTTGGGTACTATAGTGAGTTAAACAGATTTATAACTACAAACAGACAGATGGACAAACTGATAACTTAAAAAGAACACTGATCGGTGAACAACAGGCATAAAATTCTACAGAAGGGATCTTATGGTGATTATCGGATAAGTCAAACTGTATTTAAGATACACTCTCAGAAAATTAAATATGCTAAAGCATTAAACTGTTAACAGAACCATATTTGCTGCAAAGTGTGTTAAAGTTGGTGATATGGGATATAAAGGAACCATTTTCAAGACTTATAACTGGCATCACACATTAATACATGTAATTTCATTAACTTAAATTACCTGTCCTCTAGCTTCTTGGCAAATCCAAAGTCAGTAATTTTGATATGTCCATTGCGGTCCAGAAGCAGATTTTCTGGCTTTAAGTCCCTATACACTATATGTTTGCTATGTAGATAGTCTAAAGCTGACACAATTTCACATGAATAAAAGTTTGCCATACTGTTTGTAAACCTGCCATGGTTTCTTAGATATGAAAAAAGTTCTCCTCCAGGTACATATTCCAGTAACATGTATAGAAATCGCTCATCATGATATGCCCATTGCCTGTAAGAAATTAAAAACAGAGATTAAAAAAGTTCAGTTGCATCAGTGATTTACAAATATACTGGCACATACTTCATAAATGTGTGCATCTTGAAACACAGGGTTTAACTTAAATTCTTTTTTTTTTTAATTATTATTGATGGACACTAGGTTAGTCTGTGTTATGTGAAAGGGGGGGGGGGTACAAAATAAAATTTAATATAGTACATGATTACAGCAAAAAGAAGACAATCATATAAAATATAGCATCAATTTACAATGGGGCCTTAAGCCCATCGTTTCGTATTTGGCCTTAGTTTGAAAGAATGCTTTTTTCTTTTTAAATAAAGGCAAGTCCTTCCACTGAAACTGGTCACCATAAGCTGTGGTGAGTTCAAGATTTTATTATATACCTAACTGTGTATCACTCAATTATAATGTTGATTTCACACAATCATGTGAAGATGTGATCCAACTTTCTGGATCAACACATCGTGGTTTTCTGAATCCATATCACCCCTCTCTTAAACTGATGATGTAGTACACAGTATACTATAGTCATGATGTTTTTTTTTTCTTGCATATTAAAAAGTTCCTTGAAAAGAATGTTTTGTATAATGGATTAAGTTGTATAATTGATTCCAAAAGTTTACTTTTATTATATTTTGTTATTTATAGAGGGGTATGAAATAAATTTAACATTATAACAGTAACTTTATCCAAAGAGCCGTACCACATATTGCTGACAGACGCAGATCATCACATCAAACTTGACACTTCGATCGTGTCTCCTTTGATCTGATGATCTGCTTCTGTCAACTCAACATGGTACGGCTCTTCGGATCAATACTGTTATAATATTATAGACAAGAGGTCCATGGGCCACAACGCTCACCTGAGTCACTTTGGCCCTGCTGTTTTTCATCAGATTTTCCACTTGTAATACTTTGATTCCCTACTGGCCCCACCCTTACCCCTGGGTCATGATTTGAACAATTTACAATCTACACTACCTCAGGAAGCTTCCATGTAAGTTTTAGCTTTTCTGGCCCGGTGAGTGGTTCTCGAGAAAAAGACTTTCAAAGATTTTTCCTATATTTTTCAACTTTGAATCCCTATTGTGGCCCCACCCTAACCCGGGTGCCATAATTTGAACAATTTACAATTTACACTACCTCAGGAAGCTTCCACATAAGTTTCAGCTTTACTGGCCCAGTGGTTCTTGAGAAGAAGATTTTTAAAAGATTTTTCCTATATGTTTTAATGTAAAACTTTGATTCCCTCTTGTGGCCCCACCCTAACCCCAGGGGCCATGATTTGAATAATTTAGAAACTACACTACCTCAGGAAGCTTCCACATAAGTTTCAGCTTTACTGGCCCTGTGGTTCTTGAGAAGATTTTTTAATGACCCCACCCTATTTTTGTCTTCTCTTGATTATCTCCCCTTTGAAGGGAACCTGGCCCTTCACTTTAACAATTTAAACTCCTCTTCTCCCAAAGATGCTTTGTACCAACATTGGTTAAAATTGACCCAGTGGTTCTTGAGAAGAAGTTGAAAATGTGAAAAGTTTACAGACGGACAAGTGGATGGACAGACAGACGGATGACGGACAACGGGTGATCAGAAAAGCTCATTTGAGCTTTCAGCTCAGGTGAGCTAATAAAATACTATGTACCAGTTACACATAGCTCTACATCCAGCAATCATTAACAGTATTCTAATCTAGCTGCTATTTAGGGATAAAAAGCATTATTTCATATTAGTGCCTTCATAATAGGCAAAGCTACAACCTTGCAACCCTGGTACTTTGTATCAACTGACATTTTTTAATAGCCTTCTCTGATACATTTAGTGCATGAGCTTTTAAATATCTGGTAGAATACTGATCATATCAAATCTCCAAGGGTAAACTAACCAAAATCACTTTTGACATCACAAATGGCAGAATTCATTTTATGATCAATTAATATTTCATTACTTTGCACTGTATCTTCAAATACAAAAATATGTCCTTGTTATATGGTGGCATTTGCTATAAAAATGCCGGGCTGTAAATGTGATTTACAGTAGCAGGTAATAAATTCAATCTTGAAATCTTCAAGAACTAAAACAAATTTGATTTTCAAGGACAAGGTAGTTATATACACAGCATTAGAATAATTTACCCCTCTCACGAAACTGGCAGAAAACCTATAAAGTATATTCTCTTTATTCTATATTTTAATTTCGCATGCTTATTGGAAATCTACTTGATCTTTAGAAAACACTTTGAAATTTGTTCCTGCAAATTTCTTTTGCGGACAAGAAGTTTTTTCTCCCTGCTGTTATTATTGCTGTAAGCAATTATGTCAAAACATGCATTGAATCAAGATGAATGATGTAACATTACCACCTTGCAGATTTACCGAACCTGTCTGCAGTTTCACCTTTTACCATCAAAGATTACTAAGATATATTTTGAGCTCATGCACATATAAAAATAAATAATGGCATATAAAATGTTATGATTTGAGTTTTTTATAAGTAAAAATATATAGCATTCTTAGTATGCATTTAATCATATTATCACACATTTTGAAATATAACTATTAAATATCATTATCTTTTTTTTCTTTTTATCAATCACAAACAGATGTTAGGGTCCTTGAAAACCTATCAGAGATCTGATAAAGGAAGAAATCTATTGAAAACTCTAAAAAAGAATTAAGACACTGAAATGTAATATATAAGAACTAAAATGCTTTGTTTGACTGTCCTTTTCAACTTAAAAGTTATCCGGGCCAACTTCACCCCATTTCTTTGAAAACATTTAGATGGAGAAATTTGTTAAAGAGAAGGGGAAAAATAGTTCTTAATGTTCTTTGATGTCAGGCATTATGTTCCATAAAAGAAGATTAAATGAGTTTTACACTATTTGATAACCAAAAGAAAAAAAAAATCACATTCACTGAAAGCTGCCTCTAATAACAAAAGCAGAGAGTTTTCAGATCTATGTAATATTAAAACCATGATTTATCTCCCCTATTCAAGCTTACTTTGGGATTCACTTGAATTTTGTGGTTTTTATCTGCTACATTAGTAATTTTCTTAATAAGCAGCTAGCTATATAGATCCAAATACAGAAGAATAGTCATTTTATCACACATAAAATAAAAACAGAATAAATATTTCGACATTGCACTACACACGAAATATACATCTATATGAGCACAGAATCTCTTGCCAGTTAATACAGTACAAAATAAGCGCTAGGATCTTTTCTTATCCCCATCTGTGGAGTAATATCCCCCAATTCTGTTTATAAATAAATCACAAGAGAATCGCAAGAAGAAATATATATATTTACACAGCTACCTTCCACTGTATACAGTGTACTCACATATTAACAATGAAGGGACACGACACGGCTGCCAGAATCTCTTTCTCATTCTTGACGTGTTCTATCTGCTTCAGTCGAATCACCAGCGAGATCTGAAGGACCTTCAAGGCACAGTACTCTTTAGATTCTTTATTTCGACATAGGACTACACGACCAAATGTACCGGTTCCTGGGGGAAAAGAATCAATCTATAAGTTAACTAAAGATATAAATATTCTAACACTATAAATGAAACATATGATATTATGGTACCTTGAAGTTATTGGAAATTTTAACACTAATAAATTGTATGATATAACCTTGAAGTTATTGTGAAATTATAAATAGTAATGCATGAAATATGAGTCTATCTTACAGTCAAACTTCGTTATCTTGAACTCGATGCAGGACCAAGTAAAAATTTTGAGATTTCCGAAGATTCGAGATATCAAGGGTAAAATACTTTAAGAATAAGTGGTTGGGACTTCCAAATCACTTCAACATATCCATGGTATTCGAGATATTAGTATTTGAGATACTGAAGTTCAACTGTATTTATTAAAACAATTGTGGATTACTAAATATCCTACATTATAAAAATATTACATGTTTTTTAGGGTAATGTGAAATTGTTATTCCGCGAAAACCATTGCTGACCAAGGTGAAAGCCGAGATCAGCAAACAGCAGTGGTTTTCAAAGGATAACAATTTCACATGTTACCCTAAATGAACATAATTATGTAATATTTATTTTGATATACTGAATGTATTTAGAATGCATTTAAAAGAAAAAGCCATAGTGAAGCCTATATAAATAAATTGTGTGTTTCTGGTTCCCCGACTGACCCTAAAATATATGAGCTGATCGACCCTGAAATTTTTTTTCGCTGATAAACAATTCCATTTTCACTATTAGAATTCCTAATCTCGATCACATCTGTGTTTGAGAGATACACATTAAACAGAAATGCAATTACTAAGCCGCCCTTTGGGGAAAAAGAAATTAACTCTTTGTTTTTCCCATTTTGTTTATTGTCAAAGTTGAATTTTAACTAATAAAATGTTAAAATAAAATAAAATGTTTTCCCTACCTACCTACCCTATTTTTTCTCGGGTTGGAATAGGAAACACAATATTTATTTACCTTGGCCTGAACTGTACGCACAGACATTCAGCACAGTTAACAATTTTTATACTGTTACACGTTGTCATGCATTGTCAACCGTTGCTATGTAATGCTACCCGGAGGACGTGGTTTACACATGCAGTAGGTGAACAGTACTTTTTAACAAATGTTTTTTAACCAATCAAATTTGACTGTTTAACATGAAAGTACCGTATAGTTGGAAATTTTAGCTAGATGCAAATTTAGCGATTTATCCCCCAAAATTGGTATATATTTTTAGCGAGGAGTAATTTTAGCAAATTTATAATGTCAAGAAAGATAGCTTAAACAACCTATAGGGAATAGCGATGTTCAATTTCAGCGATCCCAAAACCCTCGCTAATAATGCCAAAATTGAACCTCACTAAAAATTCTGCTTACCATATATGGTATAACAAACTAAATCATTTAAGCTAGCTGGTGAGTTTATACTTGACCTTGACCTAATATGAAGTCTGAGACTTGATGTTCAACTTATTTACACAATAAAATGCTTTCTTTGTTTGTTAAGACTGGAATTAACAGTTGCAACTATAATGCAGAAAAAATACAAAACCCATGTACGCAAGAGGTAAACTTTTTCTGCAATGGTTGCAACCATTAATCCCACATTAACAAAGAAAGAAAGACATTTTAAGTCTTCTAATGAACAATCATTTAAAGTCTAAGGTTTAAGTACATTAATTATCGTATTAATAATCTGTAAGTCATATGTTACGTTTCATTGATGGAAGAGGCCACTCTTTAAGAAATCTTTCAGATAGGTGGCCTTGAAATAACAGTTCTAACTAGTTTAGCATTAATGGATTGATTAAGGGAAGTGGTTTTCATAAGAAACATAAAGGAGGAAATATTCAGTGGATGTAAATATTGAAGTTTGAGATATAGACTCTTTCTTCCCCAGTTTCAAAATCATTTGCAAATTGTTAAAGCTTTCTGACAGATAGAAAACACATAATCCAATAAAATCACTAAGCCCCCTGGTCTCTTGTAATAAATTTTATCTTTGAGTCAAAATGTATTCACTTGTGTTTGCAATTGCATGATCTATTGATGATAGACAAATAAACAAATTGCCACAAAGCAGGGTGCATAGACATTTAAAGTTACTTAGTACAAAGAAAAAAGAAAACAACTTGTTTATGAGGTTTAGCAAAGAGAAACATGTCTTACAAAATACGATTATTGAATTATCTCCCATTTGTATTATAGTACATAAATTTACAATAATAACATTGATGTTTATAGGTAAACGTATATATAAATCATTGAGACAGCAGTACACATACATGTAAGTTATTGTTGACTCAGAAAGCACTCGAGCTCACTCAGTCTACTAATGTTGCAGCAGGAAGAAACTGTACGTTTCAACAAAGATAATAGATTTATTCTAACGCTTGTTCATGATTGATTATTATACAAACACAAACTCGCAAAAAATAACAACAACAAAAATGCTATCTTGTCTCTGAAAAAATAGTTACATTTTATGTCCCCCTCTTCTGAATTAAATTCATGATTCTGGTGATAAAGTTAAACTTAACTGTTAGGGGAGCAATGCAAAAGATAAGATCGATTGTCAGAATTTGGAAAATATAAAGAACAATAATGAAAAAAATAGTTTGTCATTGTAAAAATTAACCAAGGTCAAAGTCACAAGAAGTCCTGCTAATGGGTCAAGGAAAAAACAGCTGATTTCAATATGACACCTACCCACTTGAGTGATATCGTGGGGTAAAAAATTTACCCCAAGGTATATATATCAGTTGGCACCATCAGCAATATGACAAAACTTCACGTAATAATGGCATCATACTCTGATGTGATATATGAGGCCAAAGTCATAATGAGATGAACGATATTTATAATGTCAAACTGCAGAAACTAATGTCCTCCCTCCATGAATCATTACAATGCTAATGATTCTTGTGCTTTGTCTTGAGATCTGCGCACTAAATTCTAAAATAATAACACGTCTTGATTTATTACTTCTAAACCAATACTGGTGTTAGGGATGACAAAATGGGGAAATGAAACATTTTTGAGGAGGAACTATATATAAACAAGAGTTCATATACCCTAATTAAGGCATTCTATAGTCATTATCTTTCAAAAACCGTTTGAAATCTAAGTTTAGAATTACAAAGGGTTCCCATGCTTAAATTTCAAAAGGAGAAGATTTTTAGGCTTTTTTAAATTTTTTTTTCTATATTGGGCAAAAAATTATTTGAGAATTAAATGATGTATATGCGTTGTGACAGAAAAAAATCTTTATATCTATAAGGTATCAAGATTTTTATTTAGGACCCCCCCCACCATTTCTTCCATCATGATATTCTATATTTGCTTCATTCTGATCTTCAAAAAAACTGTTAATAAAAAAAATGTGAGCTTGTTTATGAATAATATAAAATTGAAAATCTTCCTCAAAATTACATTTTTTTCTTTTTGCTTGAATATACCATACAGATGTATTTCTGCTTTCGATTGGGCCAATTTCAATAGTATTACCTGTTCATGTCTTAAATGTGATAAAAATGAAATTAATTGTTATTGTGTGGCATAAAAAGAAAAATAGGCCTATGAGGTTGAAAAAGTGAAGAAAAAAATGTTCCAAGTACGGAAATTATTTTTTGGTCCATTTTTTTTCTCTCTCGATTTAAAGAATTTCACTCCTTTCCAATGACAAGCAATCATTATTTATCAATGACAGACCAAATACCCCTGGCCCATAGACAATCCCGTATTGCCATATCCTTGGAACTATAGGTGAACAACCTTCAATTAAATAGGGATTAAAATCAACCATTTGCTATCACTGGATCAAGGAGCACAGGGTTAGCAAAACAGTTATACCTACTGATAATTTAATGTTCGAAAAACAGAAATCTATAATTATTCCGAAAGGTTTGAAAGAGGTTTACATTAGCTTCCAGCTATATCTCCCCCCCATGGAAAGATTTAGCAGATATTGATTAGAGTATTCATACATTTTTTTTTTTAACAAATCGTGCTTTGTGAGTTTATGTCTGCTGAATCAATTAAAAATAAAAGAATCTTGTGATTCGGGTTCAGTGTAATATACAGAGAAATAAATGATAGTGGCCGAGTTTAAAAGCGAGACTGCCTATGACGTCAAAGCTGGGTACAGAGCTCTATGCAGTGACAAAGCAATTTATTATTATAGATCATCTGAATGCTTCTCAAATTACTTACATTAGACTAGTATTTAGTATGGGGGAGTATGAAATGGTCACCTAGTCCACATAATGGTTGATTGAATTTAATGTTTATGTTTCATTATCTAGATGGACTCAATATCCCTCAAACACCCATTGAAGAATATTTATTTAATGTATTAAAAAATTTAATTTTTTTGGCATACTAATTTGTATTTTGACTAAATTTTTATTGATCCTTAACTAATAATTATGCTCCCATGGCTTTAATGTGTTACATGATATGGGTTTTAAGAACTTTGTTTGTTTGATTGCTTAATTATAATGTCCCTTCAAGAATATTCATTCATGCTGGGACACCACCAATGAAAGGCTGCAAAAGGCTACTACTACTCCAAAAAATAATTCAAATTCATTATTCTTTGTCAAATATAAAACATATGGGTCATAAGCCATCGATATCAAGTTAGAATTAATGCAATTTAGGTTTTTGTTTTGAAAAGGAGTTATTATTATTTCATAAATTAAGTTCTGCAATGTCTAGAGACTTTCCTAACAGCACACATAAATGTCCTTTAATTTTAATGTATCTTAAAATGTACTGAATAACGAGTGTAAGTACCTTAATTATAAATCAACTTTAACAACTTCCCCCTTTTCCATATTTTGATTAATGCATTTATTGGAGTGCTCAATAAATATAGTATTGCTAAACAATTCTACATTGTATTCCATATTGATGAAGCCATATTATACAGTTATGTGCTGACACTAGTGCCAAGAAATCTGTGAATATTATGTTTGTGTAAGTGCCATATTGACTAATACTGCATAGTCATCAGTGTACTAAGATACTAATTATAGGTATATAAAAAGTACCTGTCACTATAATAGGTATTTTAGGTATGTACACCAGGAAATGTGTTAAAACATTGCTTTTATCATTAGTGTGACCATTCTCAAATTAGAAAGCATTCTTGTACATAAAAATAGATTTCTCATAAATACAGAATAATAAATACCATCTGTCTGTGTTGAAAGAAATGCGAATATATTCAAACATAGCAATACTTGTATGTACTTAACCCCAGTGAGCTGGGTACTATGATGTAGTTTTTGTGATATTTGACGTCATGCCGTTACATATAATTTCACTACATGATCTGGTACATTAATGTACAAAAACTTCATGGCAAGACAGCTGGTTTTCATTCTCTCTGAGAACAATTAAGAATTAATATAAAGGTATCTACAACTAGATGATAAATTCTACTCATATTGGAAAGTAATTTTTTTTTTCAATCTCATTTTAAGGAAGTTTTTTTTTTTTTTTTTGAAAATTGAAAAAGGTGTACTTTTAATCCTAAATCCCTTTCAGTTATTACAACAATAAACTTGCACAACAGGAAATGTTGAGAATTTTTCCCTTTTTTTCTTTTTTTTTTTTATTTTCCTTTTTTTCTTTTTTTTTTTTTTTTACTTTGGCAATATAAAAGGCTATATAGTCATTATAAGTTGTGCATCAGTGACATACATGGAAAGCTTGTGGTGTTCAAAGATTTCAAATTATAAAGGTGTGATAATAGGTTAAGTTACTTCATAGGGAGAGGGATTATGTGAATTAAGGACTTTTGTTTGACACTTTAAAGTTAAAGAATATTATTTTAATCCACAAAAGAAATAATATTAATTTAAATCCCTTAATCAACAGGAATAAAATATTGAAATCAGACGAATAACAAGACGACTTCATTATTAGATGCATGAATTGACCTTAATTGAAAAGGTATACAGAACTGTCTTTGCCAACCCAGTACTAACACCTGACATGTCATTCAGGTAAAATTTGGTCACTGTATACTTGCATGTACAACCATTGATTAATTAAATAACCACTAAATCAGCGAAAGTTCATTTGATTAATAAAAATGAGTGCATATGTAACATACACATCAAAATTCATTTAATTACAAATTAAAGCTAAATGCATGTGTTTCCTTCTTTGATCTTCCTTACAGTGTGATGATTGAGCTTTTAGAACTTATTGAAAATCAAAGCAAAATTAAGCTGCACAATATGCTGAGTCTGGCCTGCTGCGATTTTTCTTCGACCTTTGCTCTGTCTGCAAACGATGATGACCTCGGACAGATTATGAAAGTGTAGATATAAATGGAAGATGAACGTCAGCAGGTTGAGCTTAGTGTCTTGTTCTCCTGGCAAAACATTACTAAAATTAGCCCTCGATGGAGGAGTTAGGGGGTACAGGCAGTTCTGGTAGTGACCCCTGCAGCAGAATGACTCATACTCGGCTAAATAAAAACTCATCTGTGTATATATATATACCAGGCGGGCTTTTATATTTTAACTCATGACTTACTTTCATCTTTTTTTAGTGAGTTTACAAATCTTCTGCTTTTTCTTTTATGATCTATCTGCATTGATCTGGTAGCATTTTCTTTTATTTAGCACTTCTAGATGGTTTCAACAACAAATTGCATGCAGTAGATTTATCATGTTTATGGGGGCATATATGTTTATGATGCATTGTCAGCATCTGCTGTCTCTCAAGTTCCCCCTACCCCACCCACCCCCATTTTCCAAATAAAAAATACTAATAAATTTTTCATTCTGAAATTTGTTCCTATAGCAGAGGATAATGTGGCACCCGTCCCTAGGATTATATCAAGAACCACTCCACATAGACAAAGAAGACATTCACCAGTGACTTGTTCTATTTATAAATATGAGAAAGTGAAACTTATCCAAGATATATGTTGTACCTGTTTACTTGTATGACCTTTTTATGTCCTTCTTGCAGATAAAACCAATCTTCTCTAGTCAGGTTGACAAACACTTGAGAGGGTCTCATAAAACTGTGCTGTGTGTGTTTGAAGAGGTACCCTTATTCCATCCCCCTTTTTCTCACTTCTCTCTTCTAGCTCCCTCCCCTATTCTTTCACTTTCTCTCTCATTTAACACCCCTCTTCCCCCTGCCCATTCCACTTCATATTCCTCTCCCTCCTCCCTTCTCCCTCACTAGCCCAATCTTCTTCCTCCAAAACACCTTTTTCCTATATATCCCACTTACCAACTCCAGCCTTGCAAAAATTAAGTGAATAATTATACTAATATAATTTGCATATTACAATTTCTTCCTTTATAAATTTCCTTCAAAATCCATCCATTTAATTGTAAATGTTTGCCTTTTTGTCAAGCAGCTTTTAAAAAGGAACAGTACAAAAATTAAGGAGCAATGGTCAAAACTCAGTGGCAGATTTATGGGGGGCACACCTGGCGAGCCCCCCCCCCCCCCTTAAAATTGTCAAAACGTAAATCATAGTTTAATTTGTCAAGAAAATGTAAAAAGACCTTGTTTTTACCCTACAAAATCTCAAGAACCCAGGAGCTTCCGGAGGCTTCACCCCCTAGGCCCCCACCCCCTGCCTACTTTTTGCGCACCCCTAACTTCAATTCCTGGATCTGAGCCTGAGACTCATATAAAAACATCACTTATTTTTGTCTTGGCCTCTATCAACTACAAGTAGTTGAAGCAAAACTTCCCCATCGAAACCAATGGTACAAAGTGATATTTGCTATGTTAAAATTAAGGTAATAATTAGCAATATTGAAAGTGAGAATTACTAAATGTATAACAACTTCTTCATGACAGCTAGAGTTCATCTTTCCTGTGACCTGAGGCTGGAATTGGAGCAACCTGGAGCTTAAGTCCGTAGGAGAAAATTCTGCATGTCCGAAAAAACTCCTCTGTCTAGATCACTGGAACATCTTTATCAATACATGTACAATGACCACTGGTAAGGCTCCAGGAAATGTTAACAGTTTAATTTAATGTTTTGAACACAAACATTTACTTCTTTAAGATAAACAACACTGATTGTCACTGAAGGATTGACTTCTTTTATAAAAATATATATAATTGTATCATGATTTAAAGCTGTATTTCGTAAGTTATTAGTAGAGCCTTCAGGGTTATCAGGTGTTTTTAACTTGTTTACCACAATTGCTAAATGTGTCGATCTTACAAACTTAAAGGTGTGACAAAGTTCCCATTAATGACTTCAAACTTCTTTGATAGTATACTCCAAAAACTATTAAATCATTTGATCTCGATATGAATAGCATAGGGTGATATATATGAAAAGTCAATTTTGGTTACCTGAAAAAGTTAAACACATGAACAAAATAATGCTGTAAAAGTGCTTATAGCCTTCTTTTTTATGTAAATCTACATGTACTAATAGTTAATAAAATAATACTAGTTCAAAGTCAAAAGTTTCACTTTTCACAGAGGTGGGTCACAGGAAATTATAAACATAAATTGTATGTATAAACATTTTTTTCTAGCCCTAAAAGGTTTGAAATTCTTCTTACAAATGGTGAGAATTTCAAACAAATATTTAGTCAAGGTACTTAATCGTAAATATCGGATAAAGGTCTATTGCATGTCATTATTTAAAGTACTCCATTGTTAAACACAGCTATATATTTGGACAAAAGACGCTTGGTCAAATAGAACTTAGGTCATTGTTTAGTATAAATACACAGTGTAGCTTTGATATGTCAAAAGAATCTCTTGGCAGTAGGGTGATTTTTTTAACTCAAATTTGATCACGTAACTGTCATGTCTAGATCATACTAGATCTTGGATCAATTAGACTGTTGCAATATAGCCAAAAAAAATTGCAATAATTGTGCCTCATGAATCATTACCTTTTAATTAAATCCCCCACCCCCCTTCCTATCCCCACCTCCCAAAAACATCAGTTATACTGCTACAATTTAAAAACAAAGCCCATAAATATTGTATTAAATAAATGCTTCATATGTATAGACTGTCTTACACAATTACATGTGGAATAAAAATAGAAAACAGCTGTCCTGCAACTGTCTAGACCAAAAGCCCAATTCAATATAACTAGAAAACAAAGAGATTTTTTTGAATGATGTAGGTTTTTTTTTTTATTTTAGTATTGTACATATGGTGTGTTACACATATGATGTATAACTTTTACCTAAAATTGGTTTAGTTTTGATTGGTTTTTCTCAAGTTTAAGCTTGCACCCCACTTTAGCAATTAAGGTATTGATCACCACTAATTATGTGGGTGTAGGTGATTAAATATCTAACTCTCTGTAACCTTGCATTATATCTTAGATTTTAGATTTCTCTTTAAAATGATCTAACTCTTCTCAGAAATAATGAGAATATAATTAAAATTGTCAACTTGGTCAAAACAGAAATATAATAAAATTCTTATATTCATGTTTCTGATCAAAATCCAACTAAAATCAGGGACCTATATATATGGTGACTAACAAGTATATAGGTCCTTGCTAAAATCTGATCAACTGCTTTTAAATACTATTACTGTTCCATGGCTGTTAAATCTCTTTCCAAGTTTAAAAATTTCCTACATTCACAATCTAACCACGTTTTATAAAATCGTAGAAACAAAACTTGGATCCGCCTACACTCCACAAACACACACAACCATGAATATTAGCTGCAGGAAAAAAACATCTGACTTACCAACGGTACTTAGAAGATCGTAATTGTTAATATTAGGGGTAGGTTTGCCGTCTCCATCAGTCACATCCTTTTTAGAAGCAGAAGACCTAAGACGAACTTTGGAAACTTTAGCAGACGCCATTTCTCTTACAATATAAATCCAGTTCCGAAGTTGACAATTTCTAAAATCTGTGTATCCAAGTCCAGTCAAAATCAAACTTTGAGTTTTCCATTAGAGATCAAAACCAAGTCAAATTTTACACTTCATTAAGAATTCTTTAACACGATTGACCATAATGGACAACCCAGCGATAATTCCATAATCTCAGTCATTCGATCTCTTTTACGAAAACAGCACCCAGTCCGTACTCCAACGCACACGTAAATGTTTTGATCGCGATAGGAACAGAGTGACTTCCCTTTAATAGTATAGTCTGTTTCTAATTTGGAGTGAGTATCCAGCTATTATGAGATCAGGTAAATGAATACGGAACTATGAGGAATACTTGTACTGTTATATAAAACTCTCACTACAGAAAACACCAAATTCAATCAATGATGTGAAATACTGTGCTAAATATTTATAAAATTCTCTCTCTCTCTCTCTCTCTCTCTCTCTCTCTCTCTCTCTCTCTCTCTCCGCTTTTGATCATTTATTATACCTTAGTGGTCTCCATCAGGGCCTCCGCGAACCCGCCGATTGTTGAAGTATGGGGGATCCACTGAACTCCCTATATCACCAGGATTGATTATAACCCGACCTCGCGGACGTGGTGCTAATAAATAATAAATGTAGAAAAAAGCCTGAATGTTTTTGACATAATCTCACTGAGTAAAAGTTTTTCGCTTATTTTTTTTTTATATTGCCTCAAACATTTCTTACCTAGAAATTTTTCATAAAGCCATTTAGTTGAATGAAACAAAATGATTGTTGTAGCAATCATGTTGTCTACTTCTGTATGAGGGATATTATAATAGAATGAAGTAACAATGAGGAATATATAGCACCAAGTGGATTAATCGTGACGTCATAGTAAAGGACTTCTGTTTGCTTGGGGTTATAAAACTACTATTTTTTTTAATTGAAACGATACATATTTTCTTTTCAGTCCCAGCAATGAACATTTTGATTATTTACTTATTAAACGGGTTAAAAACCATAAACAAATAGCCTAAAAGAGTTATAATTGACATGCTCTAACAAACGTACAGACAGAGACCCGGATTATCAGTGGTGGGATCGTGGGGGGGGGGGGGGGTGTTGAAAAGTTAAATGACAATCGAAACTTGCAGTACTTGTAGTTAACATGAATTTAATGGCATATAATTATTTTAAAACTTCCTAACAAATTTTTTTGAATGCACAGGCGGGATGCTCAATCACACTCCACCACCAACCCCACAACCTCCAAATACGCAAGTTCGTTAATTTTAAAATAATATTGGAATATTATTCCGCGTTATTTTTTTCCATCTTTATCTCTCTTCCTACTCATATGAGCAAGGTCATTTTCAAAAACAAACGGCAATCATGGGCTCCACATGTCTGGAACTTGGACCTTAGCTATTATTAATTCTTGTTAATCATGAGTAAAACGGCACCCTAAAATAAGAATTTGTTTTAATTTTGTATGACTAAATATTTTTAGAAGTATACTCTGGGTATTAATAGATACCGGACATGTTCATTATTATTTAAACCAATTCAATATGAATTTCGAATGAAACCGATTTGGTTTTTTTATTCTATTTTAATATCAAATAGATTTTTAAATAATAAATCATAAATAATTATGTATATGTTGTTTTTAAGATCACCAGTTTAATCAATTTTTTTTTTTGGGGGGGGGGATTAAAGATTAATTGGAAATGTCTACATGTACAGTTAGTTAAATGCGACTGGTTCTTCTTATTTCCTGACTGGCCAAGTTTTGAAATATAGATTTTTGCGAGGTGGAAGGTATAATATTATGTGATGGTTTAGAATTTCTATCCCCCACCCCCTTTCTCGCAGTTTCTTTATTGTATGAAATTCTAATGTTATTGTATATGAAGTGTATTTTATGAATTCCATTCTGGTCCCTTGCCAGAGACTTGAATATGCTAAAGCCTTGTAAAGCTTTACAGATACACGATACAGCAGTTAGGTCCCACTTATATATTAAAACAACCCCCTTTTCCGGTCCCATGCCCTGCCGTTAAAATAAAATCTTGCAAGCATAATGTTCATCTTTTATGCAGTTTGTTTTCAGCATTTAATTTAATTTGCTGATTGCATGCATGTATAAATAAAACATAAATTTAAATCAAAACAATAAAATAAGTCCGTTTATATAATTCAACAGCAAGTTAAACTATATTATTCCAAACTGATAACTGGGATTATATTGAATAATTATAATAGAAAAAAAAAATTAAGCACAATAGAAGAAGTTATATACAATGCTGAGATGCTATGAGTGACAAGGATGATTTTGACTTTGGTGGTAAAAAAATTGCAGATGAAGCTTGATTAAATATTTATTTAAAAAGAAGCATTACACCAGTACCAAAAAATTAATTTTTGGGGGGTTCCTGAAAATAAATAAACATAGATTCAATGTAACATCTCTCTCTCTCTCTCTCTCAGTGGGTCCTTAGATTAATTTTAATAAACTGTTTTACGCGTATCCCCCCCCCAAAAAAAAACAATATTCAGTAAAAAAAAAAAAAAAAAAAAAAAAAAAAAAACTCTTGCACTTCCATCTCTACTCATTTAACTTAAATTCAAAACACGGTAAGAGAAATATCGGTAATGTAAATAGTTTTCTTAACTTTATCGTATCTTTAAATATTATTGTTTAATTATTTCAGTGTTACTTAAGTACAGTGTACTTGCTACTTGAGTGTAAGTTAATCTGAGCCTTTAAGAAACAGTGTTGATCTCTTATAATTGCATAATTCGGTGAAAAAATTCTTACACATAACTACATGTATGAATGAAATCTATAACCACTAGCTTTATAATAAAAGGGAAGTAATTCTAGTATTTGTTAAGTCTTTTATACCATTACATTAAATAGCATAATATTATTGCGTCATTTAAGCAAATTGAAGCTACAAGCCCATATGAGTATTCAGATGGGAAAATATTTGTTTTGCGGCGACATCAAAACTCAATATTTACATTAATTTTTTTTTAACGTGTAATGCATATGGATAAATGGGTGCAATATTTGGATAATATAGCTCAAACTGTACCTTTTCTGCCAGTGACCTTGAACTTGCTGGTATGACCTCGGGTCAAGGTAATGAACCACCCTCAGGTCATAATTTTTGTTCATGTACCAACCCGTCCCCAAAACTTTGTTTGCAAGCTTGGGGCGGAGGTGCATTTTTTAAATCTTATAATTAAAAGTTGACTAGCTTTGTTGATTTACAATTAACTTTTAATAACTTTAACGAAAGAAAAAAACAAATTAAATGCAGATTAATGAGACAAATCAGCACCATTGACACACATAACTACATGTATGAATGAAATCTATAACCACTAGCTTTATAATAAAAGGGAAGTAATTCTAGTATTTGTTAAGTCTTTTATACCATTACATTAAATAGCATAATATTATTGCGTCATTTAAGCAAATTGAAGCTACAAGCCCATATGAGTATTCAGATGGGAAAATATTTGTTTTGCGGCGACATCAAAACTCGATATTTACATTAATTTTTTTTAACGTGTAATGCATATGGATAAATGGGTGCAATATTTGGATAATATAGCTCAAACTGTACCTTTTCTGCCAGTGACCTTGAACTTGCTGGTATGACCTCGGGTCAAGGTAATGAACCACCCTCAGGTCATAATTTTTGTTCATGTACCAACCCGTCCCCAAAACTTTGTTTGCAAGCTTGGGGCGGAGGTGCATTTTTTAAATCTTATAATTAAAAGTTGACTAGCTATGTTGATTTACAATTAACTTTTAATTAATTTAACGGAAAAAAAACAAATTAAATGCAGATTAATGAGACAAATCAGCACCATTGACAACCAATCAATTTATTCTCTCAAAACCATGTAAATGGTACATGATGTACATAAACATATAAAACCGTATATACATAAAATACAGCGTGTCAAGCAAAGGGCTCAAAGCCTTTAAAAGTGATCTTTATAATAACAAGAGGCTCATGGGACACAACGCTCACCTGAGTAACTTTGGCCCTGCTGTTTTACACCAGATTTCCCCCTTGTAATACGTATTGTGGCCCCACCCTACCCCGGGGGTCATGATTTGAACAATTCAGAATCTACATCACACCAGGATGCTTCCATATATGTTTCAGCTTTTCTGGCCCAGTGATTCTTGATAAGAAGATTTTTTAAAGTTTTTTCCTATATATTTCAATGTAAAACTTTGATTCCCCATTGTGGCCCCACCCTACCCCGATGGTCATGATTTGAACAACTTAGAATCTACACTACCCAGAATGCTTCCATAAAAATTCAGCTTTTCTGGCCCAGTGGCTCTTGAGAAAAAGATTTATAAAGATTTTTCCTATATATTTCAATGTAAAAATTTGATTCCCTACTGTGGCCCCACCCTATCGAGGGGGGGGGGGGGAGGGGGATGTTCATGATTTGAACAATTTAGAATGTACATTTCCCCAGGATGTTTCCATAAAAGTTTCAGCTTTTCTGGCCAGTGATTCTTGAGAAGAAGATTTTTAAAGATTTTTCCTATGTATTTTAATGAAAAAGATTTGATTCCCCATTGTGGCCCCACCCTATCCCCGGGGGTCATGGTTTGAACAATTTAGAGTGTACATTATCCCAGTATGCTTCCATAAAAGTTTCAGCTTTTCTGGCCCAGTGGTTCTTGAGAAGAAGATTTTTTAATGACCCCACCCTATTTTTGTCTTTTCTTGATTATCTCCCCTTGTAAGGGGGCTTGGCCCTTCATTAAAAAATTTAAACTCCCCTTCGACCAAGGATGCTTTGTACCAACTTTGGTTAAAATTGGCCCCGTGGTTCTTGAGAAGAAGTTGAAAATGTGAAAAGTTTACAGACGGACGGACGACGGACAACAGGTGATCAGAAAATTCACATGAGCATTCAGCTCAGGTGAGCTAAAAAGTGTTAACAATTAAACACCTTTCTGGTATTAGTTTACATGTAAATGTATAATAATATGTAACACAACAATGAAAGAAAATAATATATTCATAATGTGAACAAAGTGATTTTCGGGCCCAGGGCTTTTAAAACAATGTTCTGTTGACAATATAGCATCCTTCGGATGAGAGGTCCCATATCGTAGTAGGTGCTGGCACGAAAAAGATCCATCACTGCTCAATGACCCTAAGTGCCGAGTATAGGACTGCAGCCCTCCACCGGCAAGTT